TAGACTCGGCTGGGGTGGGCTTGCTAGCTGACACAGGAAGTGCTCTCCTGGGAGTATCATGATGGTCAATGAGGGGTGTGACAGGTGTGACAATGAGATTGATGGATACGGAAACAGGACAGAATTCTTCACAAGAGCCATCCGGTGATGAAACGGCTACTCAGGCAGATGGAGAGCTCCCTGTTCCCAGGACAGGTCAAGCATAACTGGAGGGATACAAGAACCCCTACCAGCGAAAGCGTGTGTAATTCCCAGACCCAGTCAAGACGAAGTCTCACCGTGGGAATGAGGGTGCAAAGGACCCAGCTGTAATTGCTGGAGTGACCTAGCACTTGGGAAGGAAGGGTCATGCCCAGGACCACCCTCAAGTCGCTGTTTTTAAAAAAGCACTTCCTTCCGTCAGTGTGTTTGATCAGGAAGCAGTAGGGCGCTAGGTCCACAGGAAGCCCCGGAGGGCAGTCTCCTGTGAAGACCACCCCTCAGACTCACAGAGGACAGGCTGAGATACTCAGAGCTGGTTGAGGATGCTCTTGGGGAGATAGTCACGGCTGTGGGCTCTTGTTGACGTACAGATCCACCCATTTATCACTGGGACCCCATCCTCCCTACGGAGGGAACCCTATTAGGACCCCAAGTACAGCAAAAATAAGGACACTAGGCAGAAATGGAGGAGAGTCCCCATGTAGTCGGGACTGTGAGTGTGTGGTGAGCAGAGACTAGGTCCTCTGTTGGAGGGAGATGATTCAGGATATGGCCAAGTGCGGTCACAATAAATGCTAAGGGAAGGCAGAGAGGAATGGTGTGTTAAGGAACCCGGGGACCTCAGATCCATAAACATAGCTCGAGAACAGAAAGTCTCCAAGGCGGGAGGGGAACATATCCAGCCCTGGATGGAGGCAGGAAATTCTTTGTGTTTGGGGCCCAGATGGGGTGGATAACATCTCAGATTATGGGGTATCACGGCCCAGAAATCACCATTCTGGTAACTACAGGAGTCTGCCACAAACAATGGGAATGAACTGTAATTAAAATTGTTGCCCAGGCTTGGTGGCCTTCCATACTAGAAGTCTTCTTATATGGGCACAGGGTAATTTCATGGACAGAGTAAAAGTGAACTTGGTCATGAAAGTTTGACAAGAGGTCAATGGGTGAGCAGAAGAGCAATTCATCCATAGGTCAGTAGTGGTTCTAAGAATTGACATGGGGGTTTTAGCCATTCCTGATCCCCATTAGCGTCTCCTAGCACCCCTAAATGAAAATACATGTAGGCTTGAGCATGTCTTTGGTTTCAAGTGCCAATTTTCTGTTCCCACATCCATCCCTAAGTAGTGACCTCATGAATGTCCTCCTACACAGGACATTTAGCGTTGTGTATCACACTGACTGTGAGGGCTGAGATCAGTCAGGCTCCCCTTCCCTGGGTCCCTATGGAAGAGGAAAAATAGGGAAATACCTCAGGGCGGGAAATGGAGATATTAAGATTTATCAGGATCCATTGCTCGTTTTCCACCCTCTCTTGTTCTGAAATCCTTTTTTTCTCTCTTCTCTCCCTCCTTCTTCCCTAATCACTTACTTACAAGAGAAAAAGTGTTTGTCTCTTGGATGGTCCCAGCACCTTCTGCCCCCATCCCCACTGCCCAGCCTGTGTAGCCTGGCCATGAGCCCCGCAGGAGGAGGGCATGTGAGTCTTTCAGATACTAGTGCTGATAGGAAAATTTTTCTGGGCAAGTGACAGTGGCTTGAGCAGCCCTTCCCCACAGGAACCTCACCCCCTACCAAGATGTTCTCCTGATGACCTGACCAGTTGGATGTTCCCCTTTCCCTCCTAATTTTTAAGTAAATCTCTAAAGGTCACAGGGTTGAGATTCCTCTCCTGGAGTGCTTCCTAAGGTGAGTCCAGCTGTGCCCTGGGGAATGGTGAGAACTTGGGGACCCCAGGCATCCTCCTAGAGATGCCTGGCTTCTAAGTCTCTTCAATCAATAAGCACACTTTGCCTTGTACTGGTCTCACTTATGGAGTTTGCCCCTGGGCTACCTTCTGCCCACAGGTGTCTTCAATGGGATGAAGTTTAGATGAGCCTTGAGACTAGAATAGGCAGACAGGTCCAGGCCCATGAGGAATCGCTTCAGTGCTTCCCATTCTCTGGACCCAGAAACTCTTTGGGAGCCCCTTTAATTGGAATGGCCATGTGTCCTAGTTTGCCGGGACAATCCTGATTCACTTCATTTTTTTTTAAGATTTTATTTATTTATTTGAGAGAGAGAGAGAGCATACATGAGCAAGGGGGAGGGACAAAGGGAGAAGCAGACTCCCTGCTAAGCAGGGAGCCCGACATAGGGCTCGATCCCAGGACCCCAGGATCATGACCTGCTTAACCTGCTGAGCCACCCAGGCACCTGCTAATTCACTTCTTTTGTCCCAGAATCCCATCTCTCACCCTCAGTAGTGTCCCTATTCGTGCACTACATGATATGATCACCTTGCATCTAACCTGTCATTGCCTAGTTTCACCTGGGGAAGGATGCATGGGATGCCCAGAATCGGTCCAGAAGGACCTACTTGGATTCCAGAAAGAGGGGCAGAGGCAGAAGAGGTTAACTTCCTAGTGCTCTGAGTTAAATATTGGGGAGGTGGGGGGGTGCTCTCTGAGGGAGACAAGAAAACAGCTGTAAGGATAAGGGGAAGGAGGCTCTCCTTGGGTCAAACAGGGTGTGCAGTGTGGACTAGATGATGTTTGTAACTTTCTCCAGCTCTATTATGTCTCCAGGAGCGGGAGGGTGGGGGTCATTCATCCTCCTGAGGACATTCCTTCATTCTTCACGTCCCTCACATTGGCAAACCCCAGGTGTCCATCGGCATCTCCCCCCACATCCTCCCAGCTGCTAATTCCCCTGCTCAGCACGCCCCAGGTGAGGATCACCAAGCTTGCAGACCCCATTTCCCTCCTGTGCGGGGTTATCTTCTCCCCACTTCCCCCTCCATCTCCATCCTGCTCCTTCTCAGCCCCCTCACTGCTCTGCACCCACAAATACCTGTCCTCCAATGCCCTGTCCCAGGCCACCCCCTCTGGTCCACACAACGCCCTCTTCTCTCTGGGGAGCTTACTTGTCCCTTCAGCTGCTCTTCTCCCATCCCACCCTTGTGAGGAGACACCACATGTGTCTAAAGCATGGGAGGCACGGCTCTTCCAGGTGCTGGTCTAGGGCCTAAACTCTGTCCCCTTTGGGGGGCTTTTTAGTCATTATAAAAATAAATAAAAAGAAAAAAACTGAGCTGCAGTTTGAGAAATCTAGAAATAATTACGACTGATGGGAAGTTACAGGCATGTGATGGGTTCCCCAGGCCACCCCCGCCCTGGGCTGTGTCCTTTCCTGGCCTGTGGGAGGGGAGTCTAGAGAACCCCTCATGTCCAGTTCCTGGACACTCAGTGCAGTGGGATGGATAGTGTCCCCCTAGACTTCATGCCCACCCCGAACCTCAGAACAAAAGTGACCCAATTTGGAAACAAGGTCTTTGCAGAAGCACATGTCAAGGATCCCAGGATGAAATCCTTCTGAATTCAGGGTGTGTCCTAAATCCAATAACTCCCATCTTGATAAGAAAAAAAATAAGGGAGAAATCAAGGCACAGGGACGTGGGAAGGTGATGTGGAGACAGGCACACGGTCGGAGGGATGCTGCCACAAGCCAAGGACCACCAAGCAGAAAAGATCCTCCCCTAGAGCTTTTGAAGGGAGTACGGCCCTGCTTGCACCTTGATTTTGGACTCCAGCACTGGGAGAGAATACATTTCTACAGCTTTAAACCATCAAATCTGTGGTCCTTTGTCACTGCATTGCTAAGGAACAAATACACCCTTCGGTCTGTTCCTGTGGGTCCTGCACAGGAAGTTGGGGGTGGCTACTCCATGGTCCCTCGGAGACAGTCACACCATTCTGGCCACTACTTGGAACAAACTTCCCGAATTTCCATCTTCCAGAGAACGTGCCACTGTGTCACTGCTTACCAGTCATTTGATCTGTGAACTGTGGCTTCCTCACCCACAGAGGAGGGAGGACACCTGCTTCCAGGGGCGTGGTGGGGATGACCGGAGATGACGCTGGTGCCAGGGCCCAGCCCCAAGTCGGGAACAGAGCAGGCCACCAACAAGGGACTCCACCTCCCCCATCCTTTCTTGGCTGTCAAACTTCCTTCTCACCCCTGACTTCCTGCCTGAACGAGCCTATCTCTGGCCTCTCTCACCGGTCTGTGGGTCTGTGTCTTCTTTCCCCTGATTGCATCCCTTCCCTCCCCCGGTGCAGGGTTCTACAGCAGTGAATGTGACTTGCTTGGAGAGTTTACCCCAGTAAGATAGCTGTCTCAGCCCCAGCATGTGCTCGACATGCTGCATTTGGGGTGGCCTGCTCTCTACCCCATCAAGGGAAGGGCTGCCCAGGTGCGACACCTCAGCCCCTTCCCCATGCCTTCCCCACACACCCCAGGGTGTGACCCCGCAAGCCCCCCATCTGTGAAACCTCTGGGCTTCACGTAACGGTAGTTTCAACTCTGTGCCTTCTTTAGGATTCTAACCTAGGTATGCAGAATAGAGCTAGATCTTCTGCTGAAATCTCAAAACAAGATGAGATGGAGGCATTCAGAACAGACACAGATAAAAACCTGAATGCATAATAAATGAAACCTGAGTCCGGAATTGAGAAATGACCAAGCATTCCAACCCAGAGGTTGCCCTGTCCTGGGTCCCGTGCTGAGGTGGGGTTAGGGCTCACTTCTGCTCATCCTTACGCAGGTGCTCCCCGCTCCTTGCCCTTCAGACTAACCCTACACTCTAGGAGCCCAGAATGCCTGGGTATGGACCATGGAGCCCATCCTCCATCAGGATGAACAGGAGCAAGCAGCCTTGCTTAGAGAGAAGGGTCAGTCCCTCCATACGCTGCAGGGGTGGGCCCTTCCTTAAATCTTCAAAGGATAGAACCTCATAGATAGCCCCGAGACACAACACGGCCCGGCAAGACACTTTTATTGTTTTAGTCTATTTCAGTTTAAGGGTTGAGGAGCTCAGTCTGCAGGGAAGCATAGAGAAGGGACAGATTTCCATCAGGAAAGAGATAAGAGGTGGAGAGAGAATAACTTTTAGAAATGCAGACTGGAAGCACGTCAAGGAGAATCTGGGGTGAGGATGATGAGCAACTCAGGATGCACTTTCAGAGCTGGTCTCAGGAACCCTTTCTCTTGACCTGCGGAAGAGAGGGCATTGTCAAGGTCCCAGGGGCCATGAACAGCAGGAGGGGGCTCAGAGAGCCTGACTCTGGGCCTGATTTTGGGTATAGCTGGTCGACTCTCCCCATCCTCGGATGCAGCATCCTATACAATCCTCATACTTTCTCCCCAGTCTGGCAGTCCCATTATACTTTCCTTGAGAAATAGAATATATCAGGGCTGAGTCAGGCTCTGAGATCCCCTCATGTTCCATGCATGATGTTCTACCCTCTCCCTCCAGCCTGCCTGCCCCGTCCTGCCCGCCTCCTTACCTTGGCCATCAGCACCAGGGCGCTGACCAGCACGGCATACAAGGTGGCCTTCCCCAGCAGGATCTCATAGAGGATGGTGGCAGACAGGATGCCCTGCTGATAGGACACTGCGGGCGGGAAGGGAGAGCGCACAGGGACCTGTGAGCAGGTGTCTCTGGCCTCTCCACTCTCCACCCCCCACCCCGGGGCCCATGGTTCTCCATGCTCGCCTTCCAGGACAAAACCATGGGAGACGGAGACCAAGCAGCGGAGAGGGTCACGTACCCGAAGTGAAGCCACAGTCTGAAAGAGAGAAGGGGGAGGGAATGGATGAGAGACCCCGTCTCCTAAAGCAGACGGAAAGCTGCCGAGTTGGCACACCTGACGCTAAGGCAACACTATTGTCAGCTGTGGTTCAGTTAAGAACCAACCAGACACACACACAAACACACGAGGTCAGCCTCCGGGTTAGCACGGACCCCCAGGCTCAGACCAGGCTTCTCGCAGACGCCTAGACGGTCTTTCTGGTGCTGTGCCCGCGGAGCTGCACCGTCCCGGAACCCCATGGAACGGGGTGGCACAGAGGGCCGGGGGCGCCCCCCTTGGCGCTGAGCCATACAGGCTCAGACAGTGAGGGGACCCCAGCTGCAAGGCTCTGCTGGGCCGAGGATCTGGGGAGGAATTAGCCCCGAGGTGCCCGTTCACCCTCGTGCTGGGCTTTAGTCTTCCCTCCCTGTCCTGTGTCCGCCTGGTCTTCTGCCTGGATCCCCCCTTTCTGTGCTCTCACTCACTCCCCGCCCAGCCCCCCAGGCCCCGCTCACCTGCTCTGCCCTGGATCTCGTCACTGACGTTCTGGGTGATGGGTTTGGCCCGGCTGGCGTTGTCCCACTCATCATCGTCCCCGAGCCCGTGGAACTGGACTTGGCAGCGGAAGTAGTTGCGAGGGTTGTGCCAGAAGGCAGAGGACACCCTCAGCCGGCTGCTCAGACAGTAGCTGGAGTCATTCTCGTTGGGCCGCTCCTTGTAGGGCTGCGGGTCTGTGCTGACCCCATTCTGGACCTCCTTGCCGTTCACCCACCAGCTCAGCTCCACGTGGTCGGGGTAGAAGCCCGTGGCCAGGCACACGAGTGTGGCCTTCTGGGTGCGGGAGATCTCTGCTTCTGATGGTTCAAACACTGTGACCGTGGGAGGTTTGACCTTTTCCAGGTTCTCTGCAAGGGAAGAGACGTTGGGACCAGGACTGGTCTGAGAGCTGTCGGGTTTGGTGTGTGTGTGTGTCTGTGTGAGAGAGAGAGAGAGAGAGAGAGAGGGGCAGAGACAGAAATAAAGAAAGACAGAGAGAGACAGAGATAAAGCTGGAAATGGAGCTATCTTAAAGCAGAATTATGTAGTAGTAGGTCCTGTGTGTTTGGGCATCACTGTCCCCATCCCTCTGTAATTGTTCATCTGCCCTGCCTGTCCTTTGCAGTCACCCTGTAGACATTCTGAGTAATGTCCCCTCATTGACGTTATTTGACTTCTTTTCCATCAGTAAAAGGCTTACGTGTCTACATTTCACCATATTATGTAGTAGTTATTCAAGGGGTGAGCACAGGATTGGAATCAGAATAATAGGATCCAAATCCAAAACTGACTTTGCCCACCAGTGTGCCTTTGGGACAGTGTCTTCATTTGGCCATGGAGGTTAAGTAACATGAACATTCAGACAGCCTCTGTCCTCAGCCGGTGAATTGCTTCGAAATCGAAGAGGCTGAGGAGTAAAGGGGAATTGGGCAAAGGGGGTCATTTGAGGGCTGGGGATTCTCTTCAGATGACAATCTACAAATGGCATATTGTTGTGCACTCAGGCGAGGGTACCCTTTTGTTTTATGGTGTGCTCATGAGAATGTGAGATTTTCTGACTTTCTTTGTGGTTTATGAGGTCCTCCCTTGCCATTCCTCCGCTTTGAGGTTCCCCCTGAGGTTCCTCAGCTCAGAGAGCAATCTCTCCTTAGGTCAAGTTCAGGGATTCGTCAACTTTCTTTGCGCCTTTGCTTCCAAATGTTATACCTTTTTTCTACCAGTCAGCTTCCTAAATAAGTATCTGAGATCATCAGAGCAACTTCTTGCTAGCAGCTGCTTTGATACAGTTTTTGTCCAAAGCCTCTCCTCTGCAGAGTCTTGGGTGAAGGCCCAGACCACCCTCTCTTCTGGCTGGCTCCCTTCTTCTGAGTCTGCTCTCCATTCATTTTATCCTTCTCCTTTGCTTTCCACTGATTTTTTTATTGTTCATTTCTTAGCAATTCTGTTAAAATGAAAAATCTCCTTATGAGATTATGAGATTCTAGTTGAGCCTGGAAGATGGAGAAAATGTCCTTCACATTTCTCTGGATGGGACCTAACTTCCGGGGCCAGCTTCATGAGTGTAGGACCCGTGTACAGGACCCTGTGCTTACAAAGGCCCCACCCTTAAGGGCTGTTGTCACCATCTTGAAATTCTAAATAATTTTTAACAAGAGCCTGGCATTTTCATTTTGAGCTGGTTGGGCTTCCCATCCTGTCAGCGTCCCCTCCCTGCAACTCCTACTTGCTAACCCGTACGATGTCTCTAGGTCTTTACTTTACCAGAGGTGGTAACATCCTCACATCTGTGCTGCCCAGCTCCATCGATCTCTCTGCTCAGCCTGGTGTCGTCACTCTTGTCTCAAAGACCCTGGCTCTGAAATTGGACCAGCTCTCCTGGGGCACTACTGAATGTACTCCTCTGGCCCCCACTCAGTCCTTCCTGCAAAATTAATGATGTCCTTTGAATCATGCGTGATGCTTCCCACAATGTTTACGGATGCAACGGGCAGGACAAACAGGACGCCATGACCCTCTGAAGCCCCTGTCTACACAGCTCCGCGTGAGGGCAGGGTCAGTTTATCCTTCCATGTTTGTGCGTCCCTGTGGGGTGTGGGTGAGCTTGCCTATGTGGGTGTAAGTGTATGTACTAGTGAGCTTCTGTTTGTATATGCTCTGTTTGTGGGTTGGATGGGCCTCAGGCAGAATTGTGAAGTTTATCTTTCCTGTTCCCGATCCACCACTCACGCCCACCCAGCCCTCCCCTCCATGATCTACATGCCAAATCCTGTCCCTCCTTGGGCACTGGGCTCACCCTCTCCCCTCACTCCCCAGTGACCACCAAGAGGAAGGGTGCAGAAGAGAAGGGCCGAATTATAACAATCCACCTTCCCTGCATACTCTACATGTAGGGTCTCCTGTTAGTCACCCTCACAGCAATGATTAAGTGGTAGGTATTGCTGATGACCTTGTACCGTAGAGGGGACCGAACTTCACACAGATTCATTTGCCCAAGGTCATCTGATCATCAGCGATCCAGCGACTGGGGCCCAGGTTTATCTGGCTCTAAAGTCTGGTCTTATGCCCACCCCTGCTGATCAGAGGAATCTGGCATTTCCCCTGGACAGAGTTTAGCTGAGCCCCATTGGCTCCAGCTTAATGACAGTCTAACGACGAATGGGGCTTATTGTTATCAAATAATCCAGGTTAATGTACCAGTATCATGAGTTTCTTCCCCTCTCTGACCTCAACATTCTCCTCACCAGGTGATGTTTGAGGTTCCTTTCCAGATCTAGGAGCTTAGGATTCTCCTGGAAATTTTCCTCACCTCACAAAGAAAATATCTGCATTTTAATGTACGTTTGCAACAGCTGAACCTCCTCCACCACCTGGGCTGTTGACGCTGGAATACTTCGTGTGAGGTCCGAGATTTCGGGCTGGGTGGCAGAGGGACATGGGCGGGGTGGGGGGGGGGGGGCGGGAGCGAATGCATCCCAGCGGCTGAGGGTGCAGTCCAGCCCACGGGCAGGAATGGGTGCTGTAGACACACCTCAGGGGGCTCTCTGGCTTAGGAGAGCAAGGCAGGGATTTTAAATATGATTTTAAATGCTAAACAGTACATCAGCAAACCCTGCTTGTTCTGACTCTTTCCTTCACTGACTCACGTTGATCTGGCCTCTCTATTCCTCTCCTGCTTCTCATTCCTTTTCTCCTCTGTTCAGCGGCCTCCCCTCCATCTACCTCCCCCAGGAGCCCGCCCGGCTGGGTGCCCGCCAGTCCCATGCTTGTCCTTGATTTTTTCCTGCCCCTCGGGCTCTGTCCCCGCTCTCTACAGCAGCTACACGCCCCCTATCCTCCCCGCAGCCCCGGTTTCCCCTTCTCAGTCCGGTCCCCCAATCCAGCGGCTCTGCGTCCTCATCAATGCTCTCGCGCCCCACTCACCCTGCCCCTAAATAGCTCAGGAGCAGGAAAAGAGCCCCACAGCCCCCTGGCCCTCCGCCCTCGTGCCCGGCCGGCGAGGACCCCGTCCCCGCCCCCGCGCAGGGCTGACCCCCGGACCGACAGCCGACCGCGCGCCCCAGCCCTGGCCCACGCGCGCCTTCTCCCGGCTCCGAGGGGCTGCGGCGGGGACGCGGGGGGAGACGCCCAAATCTCACCGATGACCGTGAGCCTGGTGCCGGCGCCGAAGTACTGCTCATAGGAGCACAGAGGCCCGGCCCCACACGCAAACCCCGCAGCGCCCCAGCCGCTTCCCGCTCGCGCTCGCAGCCCGGCCCCAGCGCGCGGAGCCCACCAGGGGCCGGGCCGGGAAGAGCCCTGGGGCCGCCGCCTTCCCTGCCGACCCGCGGCACTCGCGGCGGGTCCCGCGGCCACTCACCCACGACGGTCAGCCGGCTGCCCGCCCCGAAGGTCGGGGCGGAGGCTGTAAAGCACGGCCCCGGGCCCCCCGCCAAGAACCCGGCCGCGCCGCGCGCCGCGCTCACCCAACACCGACAGCCGCGTCCCCGCGCCGAAGTACTGGGTATTTTGGCTCACAGCCCCCCGGGGCGGCACAAAAACAGGCCCGCCATCCCCTGGCCCCACCGCGCTCCCCGGCGCCCCCGGGCACCCCCGCTTACCTAGCACGGTCAGCCGGGTGCCCCTGCCGAAATACTGAGGGTCTGTACTCACAGCCCGGAGCCCCAGCACAAAAATCCGGCGCTGCCCTCTCCCGCCAACCCGCTCCCTCGCCACCCCGCCCCCAGGACCGGGAGTCCCGCACCAGGCGCCGAGCGCCACCTCTACTAGCACAGCTCCAGAAGCCGGCAGCTGCCCACCTGTCTCCATCCCACCCCGCGGAGCGCTCGCGCCCCAGCTAACCTACTTACCCAGCACCGTCAGCTTGGAACCGGCCCCAAAGTCCAGCTGTCCCGTGTTTGCACAGCTCTGGGGACCCAGGCACAAACCCGCCGTCCCGACTAGGGGCCCAGGAGGGGCCAACACCCACTCCTTAAGGGCCAGGGTCCTGGGTATGGTCCAAGCTGGGCAACCCACCCTCCTTCCCACCGGGAGCGGCTTTCTTACCTAGTACGGTGAGCCGGGTCCCTGGCCCAAAGTGCTGCTCCCTGTATTAGCACAGTGAGCAGGGGCTGCTAAGAATTTCTCCTCCTTCCCGCTTCCCTTGGCACAAGCTGGGGGTGCACTCTCCTCCTTCCTGGGCTTCTCTTGTCCCACCTCCAGAGCTAGCTGGACATAGTAATCTAGATGCCAGGGGAGATCATCTCCAATTTGCAGATGAGAATCAACTTGGCTTGGGGACAAGTGGAAGCGGAAAATGAACAGGGATTGGTGATGGGGGTTTGGGCTGGAGTTGGGGGATGTTCCAGGCTAGACCCTGTCTCTTACTACTTACAGGACCTGCAACCTCTCTGGCCTTACTTCCTTCATCTGAAAAATGGGGTAATATGTTTTGCACAGTGTTATTGTGAGTTCTTAATAAATAACGCATGTGTAAGTACTTTTGTCAAGGACAAGTTTTTGTGAAAAGTGCTGGATGATGACCCCCCCCTTTTTTTTAAAAACACGGCAAAAATAGTCATGATGATCCCATTTTGATGCATTGGCCCTTCGCATTCCTGGGAAGCTGTCTGGGACCCAGGGACCAGCTCCAGAGACACCTCCCAGCCACTCCCCATCCAGGAGCTGTGTTTCCTGAGCTGGATGGAGATATTTTCTGAGGCAGGGCTTTTTGTAAAAGCACCCCCTCTATCTGAATCATGGTGGTCCCCCCAGTTCCCACAATGTTACAGCAGGATACAAAATGTTTCTTTCCCTCTGGTACCCTCCCCCAACCACTGGGCAGAGGCAGGAAGTGCAGGTGACAGAGGTTTGATTGACTGGGGCTGGGAGCAAACTCAGAGTACATTTAAAGTGGGGAGGGCCTGGGGAAGGTCATGGTGCTCATGGGGTGGGGGCAGGGAGAGAGGCCCCATGGCAGAACATTCTATGTCACCAGGTCTCCCCTCTGGGACTGTCTGTGCCCACCTGCACAGACAGGCATTTATAGTGAGGTGGGATGGGAGGATTGAAGGGTGGATTCCATAGAGCAGGTGATAGCAGGGGGCATGGGGGCAAGCAACCTCTATAATTCCCCACTGCTCCCTGAACAGAGTCCAAGCTCCTTATCCTTCATGTATCCCACACACATCATGAACATCCCCTATGTGCCAGGCCTCATGCTGGTGGCATGAGTCCACCCTCTGAGGAGCACGCACCAGCCTGCCTAATGTCTCATCCCTCCTATCTCAGAACCTCGTCCCCGGCTAAGCACCCACGAGTACCGGACCTCTTTGTTTCGGCTCTGGTTCATGTCTCTGACTGTCACAACCACCGCCTCACGGGGGTAATTAGACCAGTTCTTTCTTTGAAGAGTTTGCCACCTTCTCAGACTCTTCCCTGATGATCCCAGGTGGAAACTGAGTGCTAGCCTCTGACAGCATCTTAGTAGACAGCTCACATTGCTATTGGAAAGCATCACTTTGTAATTCCACTGTTTCTATTCATGAATGACCCCCTCGTGAACAGGTAGGCTCCCTGGGGACTGTGACACGGCTCTCTTTATTTTCTTGAAGGTGACCAGCAGAACATCGCAATGATGTGTGCTCGATGAGTGGGTTAGTGCACGCACGCATGTATGTAAATATATATATACATACACGTGTGTATGCTGTAGAAGTGCATTGCAATGGAGAGAGAAGGTCATGTGTTACAGTCCCGTGAGTGAGAGAGTAGATGGCTAGTTCAGACAAGGAAGCGCCTGAGAAGGCTTCTTGCTGGGGAAGATGTTGGGGCTGAATCTTCAAGAATAAATGGGAGTTGGAGTGCTATGTGCCTCCAGGTGATGGAGTGCAGAATAGTCTGAGAGCAGGTGGCTCTGGGATGCAGGGTAAGAGGAGCGGGGTATGCATGGAGCGAGGAAACAGAGGACCACTGCCTAGAAGCCATCCTCAGGACTGCCCCGCATCACCACGGTGACAATGAGACAACTGAAATGCTCTTAGAGGATTTCTAGAAATAGCAATAGGGCTGATTCTTGGTTTTGGTGACCTTTATTTTCTATCCTTCCAGGAGTGATCAGGGCACATGTTCACACCCATGTAATTCACTAGAGAGAAACTTATAAACAGATCTGTGACTTAAACTGGAAGACACATGTGCTACTTGAGAATCCATCTCCAAGTCAGCGCCTTCTCTTCTCGGCCGGGAAGCCTGCTTGGTGACAAGTGAAAACGGGAGTGTACTCAGGGAGACAGCTGAAATGAATGGGGTGATAGGTATGAAAGCAAGCTGCTTCTTTTTTTTTTTTAAGATTTTATTTATTACAGAGAGAGGGAGAGCATGAGAGGGGGGAGGGTCAGAGGGAGAAGCAGGCTCCCCGCTGAGCAGGGAGCCCAATGTGGGGCTTGATCCCAGGATTCTGGGATCATGACCTGAGCCGAAGGTAGACGCTTAACTGACTGAGCCACCCAGCCACGGGTACATGACCAGTTGGCGGGAGACACACCTGTGTAGGTGGACTCTTCCTCAGAGCACCTTCGTCCAGGTAGGACAGAAAGTTCTTATAGGAAATGTCACCATTTTTTCTGGGCTATTCCTGAGTAAGCCTCTTCAATCCCAGCACCCCCGTTTGCATCTACTAAACTTCCCCTGACAGAGAGGAGCGGGGTCACCCCAGGCTGGGTCCCTCAGCCCTGGTACCAGAGGGACCTGCTCTTTCCTTGAATATCTTTTGTTTCTATCCTGACTGGAGTCACATGGGAGGTCAGCCATGGGCAGAAGAGATATCCAGACATCACAAGGCAGAGTCAAGCCAGAACAGGCCATTTTTATTGATTCAGTCAATTTAGTCAGGCTAGGGTCCCCCCTGGGTTAGGGAGATTTGGGTCATGAGCGTCCAGGTGTGCACGAACATAGGGGGTAGCTATTGGGGTGAGCAGAGAGATGAAAACAGCTCTTGAGAAGCACTGGCTGGAAGTGGAGAAAGGAGAATCCATACTGGGGCAATAGAAGCTGGAAAGTCCTGGCTCTGCCTCTGAGCTAGTTTCAGGAACCCTTTCTCTTGACCTGAAGAAGAGAAGGTTTCAGGAGTTAGCAGGAGTCAGGAGTGATGGGAATGGAGAGGAAGTAGGATGGTCCGCTGACAAGATGAATGGTAGTTCTCTTTACAATGTCCATTGGGTTTTCAGGGGACCCCAGCTTCTTCTCTGCCTGGCTCTCCCACTGTGATCCCAGAGGTACAGTGTGTCTTCTGAGGCATGTGGGTGGAACTCCATCTTCTTCTACTGCCCACTGCTGGCCCTAGCTAGGTCTCTTGCTACTCCCAGCTCTGAGTTGTTATGTTTTAAGTGTCCCCTCCAGAGCCCCGTCCTGCCCGCCTCCTTACCTTGGCCATCAGCACCAGGGCGCTGACCAGCACGGCATACAGGGTGGCCTTCCCCAGCAGGATCTCATAGAGGATGGTGGCAGACAGGATGCCCTGCTGATAGGACACTGCGGGCGGGAAGGGAGAGCGCACAGGGACCTGTGAGCAGGTGTCTCTGGCCTCTCCACTCTCCACCCCCCACCCCGGGGCCCATGGTTCTCCATGCTCGCCTTCCAGGACAAAACCATGGGAGACGGAGACCAAGCAGCGGAGAGGGTCACGTACCCGAAGTGAAGCCACAGTCTGAAAGAGAGAAGGGGGAGGGAATGGATGAGAGACCCCGTCTCCTAAAGCAGACGGAAAGCTGCCGAGTTGGCACACCTGACGCTAAGGCAACACTATTGTCAGCTGTGGTTCGGTTAAGAACCAACCAGACACACACACAAACACACGAGGTCAGCCTCCGGGTTAGCACGGACCCCCAGGCTCAGACCAGGCTTCTCGCAGACGCCTAGACGGTCTTTCTGGTGCTGTGCCCGCGGAGCTGCACCGTCCCGGAACCCCATGGAACGGGGTGGCACAGAGGGCTGGGGGCGCCCCCCTCGGCGCTGAGCCATACAGGCTCAGACAGTGAGGGGACCCCAGCTGCAAGGCTCTGCTGGGCCGAGGATCTGGGGAGGAATTAGCCCCGAGGTGCCCGTTCACCCTCGTGCTGGGCTTTAGTCTTCCCTCCCTGTCCTGTGTCCGCCTGGTCTTCTGCCTGGATCCCCCCTTTCTGTGCTCTCACTCACTCCCCGCCCAGCCCCCCAGGCCCCGCTCACCTGCTCTGCCCTGGATCTCGTCACTGACGTTCTGGGTGATGGGTTTGGCCCGGCTGGCGTTGTCCCACTCATCATCGTCCCCGAGCCCGTGGAACTGGACTTGGCAGCGGAAGTAGTTGCGAGGGTTGTGCCAGAAGGCAGAGGACACCCTCAGCCGGCTGCTCAGACAGTAGCTGGAGTCATTCTCGTTGGGCCGCTCCTTGTAGGGCTGCGGGTCTGTGCTGACCCCATTCTGGACCTCCTTGCCGTTCACCCACCAGCTCAGCTCCACGTGGTCGGGGTAGAAGCCCGTGGCCAGGCACACGAGTGTGGCCTTCTGGGTGCGGGAGATCTCTGCTTCTGATGGTTCAAACACTGTGACCGTGGGAGGTTTGACCTTTTCCAGGTTCTCTGCAAGGGAAGAGACGTTGGGACCAGGACTGGTCTGAGAGCTGTCTGGGTTTGGTGTGTGTGTGTGTCTGTGTGTGTGTGTGTGAGAGAGAGAGAGGCAGAGACAGAAATAAAGAAAGACAGAGAGAGACAGAGATAAAGCTGGAAATGGAGTCCTCCTAAGCAGAATTATGTAGTAGTAGATCCTGTGTATTTGGGGGTCACTGTCCTGTTCT